GGGTTTCCTTTTCGTTTCCATTTTCTCTAATGATTTTATTTTGGTCATATATGCGGTCCATATTATTCTCAGTAGCCTTCTGTATAACCAGATTTCTGTTGCTTGAAATTTCTTCCATTTTAAAGCAATTGCCGAGAATTCACTGTCATATCGTAGAATCTTTCTATATTTCTGAGATGAGGTATTATGTACAATATTTACATTATTCGGCCTATTGTCCTCATCTTCGTCGCCATGTTTATCACAACGTTTCGGCCGTTGTACGCTCCGGCCTTCTTCAGGTGGTTGGAATGTCGAACTGAACCCTTTATTTTGCTCAAGGACACATGGTACAGAGGATAAAGGCGTTAGTTAGATTCAGTGACAGGACCCAAATAGTATGAGTTCAATCCCTGGTTAAGGCAGTGGAAAACTTTCAGAGGGGAATTGACATCCATTAGAAATGGCAAGTGGAACTAGAACAGTCTACCCCAGTAATCGAAATAAAGGTTTCAGTTCGACATTCCAACCACCTGAAGAAGGCTAGAGCGTACAATGGCCGAAATGTGATAAACATGGCGACAAAGATGAGGACAATAGTCCGAATAATGTAAATAGGGTAGAATAGATATTCAAGACTATTTTTATTGTCTCAAATATAGTTTTTTCTGTTTCTTAATACTCTTTTTATCCTTTGAAATGCAACTTTGGCTATTCCTGTGCTAGATTTCGGCGTTTCAATTATAGTATTATGACATGTTTGTTCGGGTAACTTTGTAGTTTTTCAGTATTCATAGAAACAAATAATGGTTTACATTGCAACTGAACCAAACAGACCTTGGTTAGTGTTTGCGAAATATAGTTTCTCTTTTCCTTTTAATCAATTCACTCCAAGGAAGGTGATAAAGCCACTAAGACGCAAGGTGTTATTTCTTGTGAAAGAATATGAGAAAAATTTATGGGTAATCGTAAACCCAATTCTAAACAGGGAACAAGTGATAAACCTCTACATTTGTTCAGACGAGCGGAGAAGAGGTTTTCATAAATTATTAAGGTCTGTTATTATCTGAGGGAGCAACACGCCAGTAAAACGATGCTGAAGTAGATATATGCCAAACACACATCATGACATACAGTAAGATAATGATATAGCAAGCGCATTTATCACAACCAAATTTGCCTGATATGTTGACAGGCTTTCTTAAAATATTATTCTCTTATTATTGCTTAGTGAAAGAGTAGCAGACAGTTACAGTGGCGCTGTACTATACAGATACGAAACCGACTGTACCCATCAAGACAGCCTGTCAGATAATATTATGCCAGGTATGTATATCACAAACAATAATGGGAGATATATTTTTGTTCTTTTTCATTAATAATAATGATTTAGTGATATAACTCTTACTAATTAACCCATAGACTGGAGGGAAGAAATCGATTCATAACATTCCTAAGGATATTTGAGCATAAATAAATGTAACGAACACGACTTGAATTGGATCTCGTCACACCATTTTCCCATTCCTAGGTTTTATTAACAGCACCATCCACACATCCAAGTTTACAAAAACGAGCCATAGATAATCTTCGTTTTTGGAAAACAATTTTAAGGATAACTGTATACACCTAACTACTAATCGTAATTAATAATAAGATTACACAACTATACCTTAGTTTCATGCAACAACGGCAGCCTTCGTAGTTTTTGTTGTTGTTGCTGTAGTTGTTGTTGTTGTTGCTGTAGTTGTTGTTGTTTTTGTTTATACCCTTTTGATGAAAATGAAATATACTTATCCAAGTATCTTAGGATTCATTCCCTTGTTTACATTGAAATTATATCAAAGGTAAGAAAACATTCAGTGGGTGGTTTGTATCTTAGAGTTAATTCGCTCTATCTACGAGTATTTGGTTAACAAACAGAGCTACAGATATATATATATATATATATATATATATATATATATATATATATATATATATATAGTGGGTATCAAAAGTAATTAACCCATTAGTTTTTTATAAATTTCGCAATAAAAAAATTGTTTAATGTTCAAATATTTTAATGAATATTGTCTAACGAAGCAGAAATGGAAATTGAGAAACATTGTTTTTATGTAATTTTATCGCCAATTTTCCATGTTAATTACGGGCAAATGTATTTAACACTTATACAAATAATACGGTAAAAAGAGTATCTTAAAACTCTTTTCAATTATTTTGATATGGTTTGTATTCTAACCAATGAACTGTTGTCCTCAATATATGTATTAACCAAGCTCTATCGGCACATAGTGATAACAGTCTGATACAGTACAGAGTGTCCCGCTATGTAAACTTATAAAAATGGCAAAAATAAAAGAATTGTCAGAGACAAAAGATTATAAAAGACTTGTTATTTAATGCTGAAATCTAAGTATATGCGACGTAATCTTTAGACAGTAATAGTTTTAGTGGTACAAATCTTACTAATTAACCCATAGATGTTGGAGAAGAGATGGATTTTACCTTTACTAAGAGTATATACGCGTGAGTGAATTTAGCAAACAAGAAGACACAATGTTGGCTCTCTAAGAGTCTAACATTACCCATGTTGGCAGGCCGAAAAGTTTCTCTCTGGGGGACAATAAGCAAATAATATCAATCTAATGGTGATATATTATTATTTATCCAATTTAACAGTACGAGGTCATAATGTATGTCCACGTGCCGCCTATGGTAATGGTGATATTAGCCATTTCCCTAGAAGGAAACATTTGGCATTCATTGATCGAGAAACTAGTACTGATTTCTGATTTCTGTTTAACTGATTTAAGTTAAGAAATAGGAGTATACGAGGGAAAGTTAACGGTTAACTCTAGTCTTGAACTGATTATGATTGTAGTGATCGGGAAAACATCATCTTGGGTGTTCTGTTATAGAGAGCAATGGATCACGGGAAGAATCTGTTCGAATAAAAATTATCCTCACCAATGGGTAGTTTATATGTATAGGAGGGGAAGATAAAGTTTAACTCTAGACTTGAACAGGTTATGCTTGTAGTGATCGGGGAAACATCCTCTTGGGAGTTCTGTTCTAGAGAGCAATAGATCGCGGGAAGAATCTGTTCGAGTGGAACTTACTTCTCGCCAATGGTTACTTTATATGGATAGGAGGGGAAGATAACGGTTAACTCTAGACTTGAACAGGTTAAGATTATAGTGATCGGGGAAACATCCTTTTGGGAGTTCAGTTCCACAGAGCAATGGATCGCGGGAAGAATCTGTTCGAGTGGAACTTACTTCTCACCAATGGGTAGTTTATATGAATAGGAGGGGAAGATAAAGGTTAACTCTAGACTTGAACAGGTTATGATTGTTGTGATCGGGAAAACATCCTCTTGGGAGTTCTTTTCTAGACAGCATGGATCTCAGGAAGAATCTGTTTGTGTGGAACTTACTAGTCACCAATGGGTAGTTTATATGGATAGGAGGGGATGATAACGTTTAACTCGAAACTTGAACAGGTTATGATTGTAGTGATCAGGGAAACATCTTCTTGGGAGTTCTGTTCTTGAGAGCAATGGATCTCGGGAAGAATCTTTTCGAGTGGAACTTACTTCCCACTAATGGGTAGTTTATATGGATAGGAGAAAAAGATAACAGTTAAATCTAGACTTGAACAGGTTATGATTGTACTCATCAGGGAAACATCCTCTTGGGAGTTCTGTTCTAGAGAGTAAATGGATCGCGGGAAAAATCTGTTCGAATGGAACGTAATTCTCTCCAGTGGGTAGTTTATATGGACAGGAGTGGAAGATAACGGTTAACTCTAGATTTGAAAAGGTTATGATTGTAGTGATCAGCGAAACATACTCTTGGGAGTTCTGTTCTAGATAGAAATGGGTCGCGGGAAGAATCTGTACGAATTGAACTTACTTCTCACCAATGGGTAGTTTATATGGATAGGACAGGGAGATAACGGTTAACTCTAGACTTGAACGGGTTATGTTTGTATTGATCAGGAAAACATCCTCTTGGAAGTTCTGTTTTAGAGAGCAATGGATCGCGGGAAGAATCTGTTCGAATGGAACTTACTACTCACCAATGTTTTGTTTATATGGATAGGAGGGGAAGATAACGTTTAACTCTAGACTTGAACAGTTTAAGATTGCAGTGATCGGGGAATCATCCTCTTGGGAGTTCTGTTCTAGAGAGCAATGGATTACGGGAATTATCTGTTCGAATGGAACTTACTTCTCACCGAAGGCATACGGATGGAATGTGAGTAATTTGCTACCACATTAGTGCCATGGCGGGTCCGGCTCGTGAAGATTACATTAATTTTCAATGAACCTGAAATTCCTTCAAGATCTAATGTTTCTGTTCCTAAGTAAAAAATCAAAATTCATGCAACACCTTAAACCATACATCGAATGAAAATATAAACACAGATAGACGATGTTCTCCGAGGAATTCTTAACCTGAAATCGGTACGAAGGCTTTTAATCTCTTTGACTCATTGTAAGTGTTTGCGTACCTTTTTTCTGACAAGACATTGTAATAAATCTTCTAACAAATACTATATGATGACTACAGTTGTGAATTTAGTTTAATCTTTCGTGTAATACTCTCTGGTGGAAAAGTGAGGTAAATCATTGTATGCAAATCGTTTATTTCCTTTAGTCATTTTAATAATGTATAAAATTAATTATTTATTTTTAATTAGACAAAATTAGTTTCCAGGTAAAATGAATCGTTCAATTAATCTCCATCCTTACCATTACATTTATTGATCTGCAGATTTATTTGTTAAATTACTTTCTTGCGATGCAGTCATATAAGTTTCTCTTCTGAGTGATCGTCTTGCTTTTATCTTCGTCTTAAGTTATGCTTTATCGTCGCTGCCTTTGTTGTTCTTTTGATCGATCTATTAGCAGATAAAAACCCCCACGATAGATATGACTAGGATTTAAAACGAAAAACACATCAAATCAAATATTAAGCTCTACATCGGGGTTGAAGGAAACGTCCTTCAAATTGTTACAAAACGAACGAAAAGGTGTCTGCGTCAGGCTTTTCGGTGGCGGCAACAGACGACCAAGTATTCTGACGGCGCCGCAGGCGGCTGTGTCGCGTAAAGAAGTGGCGGATGTTCACGACATGTAGACGGACCGTCGTTCTACTTCGAACGATGGAAATGTTTTGCGTACGACAGCGCATTCTAAATTCACTTTCCTGATCGCAATTCAAACGAACAAGTCCGATTCGAGAATTGAGTCGCAAGGACTTTCTCAGGTATTGATCACTGAAGCGAGCGCTTCGACTGGACGGGAGAATTACTCCTAGATGTCTACGTCAACCGAAATGACCCCCTGCACGGACATACACGACGGTATCTGCGGTCGGTGAACGACAAAGTTATTGACGAGCACGAACCAAACAAATGCAACAGACAAAAGCAACAACATTGAACACAACACAAACTTCGACATACACGACGGACTCGACCGAGCGGTTAACGGCTGCGTTTTCGGCGACGGTGGCGACTGGTTCGACTAAGCCGGCAATAGACTAACCACTAAAGCGGCGGACAATCGGTAATACGCAAACCAGAAAAAAATATTGTGGCTGTGGCAGAACCTCCCAAACTCTTTCTGTGTATCCATGATTAGCTTGTTGTCGAGCATGTTAACTGGAATCAATGGAGGAGCGTTGGACTTTGTTCCTCTCGGTCAATGTGTGTGGCACCAATGTATTATATTTCTGGAGGTTACTCTTGAGTAAAAATGACTAACGACTGCAAGATGAGAGTTTTTGCAATCATCTGAGTGAATTGCCTAGTGGTCTGCCGCGGATTTTTAAGAAACGCGAGTAATTGGTTTTCATCAGACTAAACAGATCGGCCGGAACGTGGAGAGTCTGTAAGTTCGAACTTCCCTTCCTTTAAACGGGGAAACCATTTCTCTGTGTTCTTCCGTCGGTAATGTATTTATCGCCGTACCCAAAAGCTCACATGTCTCGAGCACCTTTGGAGAGCTTTGTGATCTTGATCGAAAGTAGACTAAAAAAGCTGGGCATGCTCATTCTTCAACTGGGGGTTACCATCCAAAATAAAATTTCTATAACGTCAGACATCAAAAAAATAAATAAATAAAAATAAAAAAAATAAAAAATAAAAGACTGCCAAAGATTATTCTTCGAGACCATTCGCAGAACATCAGAAAAAAACAAAACAAGGAATATATGTAACAACTTAATATTAAATACATAAAATTTTAACACGCAAAGATATTGATCTAAAACTGATTTATATTAATCATCTGCTAGACTCCTCTCTGCCTTCCATCATCATGGCTGATGCTAACCATCCAGCATGGCTGATGCTAACCATCCAGCATGGCTGATGCTAACCATTCAGCATGGCTGATGCTAACCATCCAACATGGCTGATGCTAACCATTCAACATGGCTGATGCTAACCTCCAGGAAATTGCCTCGTTGCGCTTTCTCAATCTAACGTTCTCATCTGACGTGAAATGAAATAAAATCGATTGATTCCATTGCCAGGTCAGCTTCTAGACAGACTTTTCATTGTGTCTTGCAAGACAATATTTATCTCCTGAATCTATCTTACAGTTCTATAAGTCTACCATTTCCAATGCTTAGAACATTGCTGCTATTGGCAAGATGCAAAAAAGAATCAGCAATATTATTGGTACTGATCTAGCGACTCGGTTTCAAACACTTTCCAACCGCCATAAGGTTGCATCTCTCTGTCTTTTCTATAAATATTTTCATGACAATTGTTCAGATGAGCTCTTCACTAGGGTACCTAGACTTTTTTAAAAAATTTAATCGAAGTACTAGACTGTCGACGAGGTCTCATTTGTGAGCTAGCTAGAGGCAACCGTAAATTCTATGCTAACAGTTTCTTTTCTTGCACTTCTTGCTTGTGGAACTTCCTTCCGGATCCAAGCTTTACAACCAACTTTAATCTGCAAAAAATTAAATGCAATGTTAATTGCTATCTACTGTCCTCATGATTACTCTTTTCCATTCTCGCTCGGTATTAATGTTCTGTTCCTAATTCTTACATACCCTGTAGCCTCTTTTTGTCATAGTGGATTTATTGCTTAGCATAGGGCGATGGCGATTAAAAATATACTCCATTTTTGGGCCTGATCTTTTGTAAAGATAAAGCATTGCAGAAGGAGTCAGCTCCTCCTATCTTACATATCTATAAATCTACGATATGGTCCGGTGCCTCTGCTACTTACCTTGAGCACCTTGATAAAATCCTAAGAAGAATCTGCAATATTACTGGTACTGATCTTGCCGTTCGGCTTCAGTAACTTTCCCACTACCGAAAGATTGTCTCTCTGTGTTTTTTTAATAAATACTTACATGACCATTGTTCACATGAGCTCTTCATTAGGGTACCTAGACTTTTTTAAAAAAATTAATCGGAATACTAGACTGGCGTTGACATCTCATCAATTCACAGTTGAACTGGCGAGATGTAGCCGTAAATTCTAAGCTAAAAATTTATTTTCTCGCACTTCTCACATTTAGATCTCCCATGCTTAATCTGAAAAAATAAATGCAATGTCAATAACTATTGACTCTCTTCCTGATTACTCTTTTCTCTTCTTGCTCATTTATGTATCTGTTCCAAATTCTTCCACACCCAATAACCCCTTGCGTCTTAGTGGCACTACTCCCTTGCATGGGGTGATACCGATTAAAAAAATATAATACAAAATGAAATCATTGAATTATAGAAACCATCGCGCACCTAACAAATATAAATTGGGTGATTCATTTTCAGCAACTTCTCAAAATTTTGCAGGTTATTTAATTTTTTTTTTTTTTATTAAAGTTTAAGAATTTTCCTGGGGAATGATAATGTTTTAGCGGGAGAAGTTTTCTTAATTAACCCATAGCTGCGGAGAGAACAATTTGATTCAACCCTGTACAAAGTATATTTACACGGAAGAGATAATAACGAAATCAATCGGAATTAGAACTTGACTCTCCAGTTAGCAATTCCGAGCCAGTATCCATTACACCACGCGCACATCCAACCTTATAGCACCTTGTATTCACAAGCGGTCACCCATCGATGTAATGACCAGACACAATGAGGCTTCACTTCAGTGATCGTAAGGGAACTGATGTTTCAATTTGATGTGTCTGTAAACTTTATATGTAAAGTAAAGGGATTAATTAAAAGTTTGTTTTGCTCGGTTTTAAATGTGAATCATTATAATTTAGTAAAAAGAAAAAAATATTGAAAATAAAAAAAGAGATTTATTAAAGAGAAAAGAAGGTTAACTCTAGAGATGCTATAAACATGTAAAAGAGAATACGACCAAAAAGAAAGAGCCGACATAAACTGAAGTCAAAAATCCAGAAACGGCCACTTTAACAAAACAAGAACTTGAAATATTAAATAAATAACTTAAAAACGAGACAGTAAAAAATAAACCATTTACTGTCTCTTCTTGACAAAAACTTGAAAAAGTTAATTCAGCGACTGTTGTCTAGAGAGTAGCGAAAATAACCAAACATAATGACCTCGTATACGCAGGTGTAAATTATGTGTTAGAAATTTTTTGCGAACCAGCAGAAGAAAAGAAGGAAAAGAAAACGCGATCAAAAAGTTTACAGTCTTTGGAAATCATATTAAAAAGACATTCTCGAAATCAGAACATGACGCAAGATGACGAAATGTCGTGACTAAGAAGTAAAGTGCAAACATTCAAATATGGCAGACACAGAGCCGGAATCAGACTCGGTAACAGAAATAAAACAGATGATGATCGCTGATCTCTACTTTGACCTTAGCTCAGTCGAGGTAGAAGTGATTTCTAGCCTACAATACATCTAAAACCAAGCTGGTAATGTTTCATCATTACAAAACTGACCCCGAGTTTTCCGTAGTAATGATAAACGGTTGTAAATTTAATAAAACCCCATTGAACCCGTAGGCACGGTGGAAAAATGGATAGCGGCACTGAAGAGAAACTGCGGAATCGGAGAGCCGAGTTCAAAATCCATTACATTCACTTACCCTTGGAAGTTATGAATCTTCTACTTGTCCCTCCAGGTATGGATAAATAACAAGACAGACTAGGTGGCAATCGGTGTAGGAGGAGGAAAACTCTGAATTCAAAGCCAGCCTGGAGAGGGTTGGTCTCCATCAAGCCATCTCGCCCAAGAAACACCACTTCTACTGTGGCTGTAGTAAGTGCCGTACCACTGAGGGGTCAGGAAATTCGCGATCGACTGTGATATACGACCCGGTATATACAGGATGTCCATAAAGTTCGTGTGCACTTTAAAAAATTTATAACTTTATTTGTATTTGCGATAGAAATAATCTGTAAAAAATGTTATAAAGGTTAATGCACCTAGTTTTAAGTATAGCTAAAATAACTAATGTGATTTCAGGCATTACTGTAAATCAGTTGGCAGATGTTTTCCGTGAGCTGCAAAATCGTATTACTCTTTGTATTGCTAAAGATGGAGGACATGTGGAAACTTACATAAAATTACAATAAACCATTAACAAATATAGATTTACTTCTTTCTAATCCTTTTGACAAATTATTTCTATCGCAAATACAAATAAGGTTATAAATTTATAAAAGTGCACACGAACTTTATGGACACCCCATAAAAAGCAGGAAGAATAGCCGGTCCGTGTAGTGTACACTTTACAAGAGACAGATGAAACGAAAAACAAACAAACAACAAAAAAAAAACATGAACATTGCTGCCATATCTGTATTGGAGATATTCAATCCACACATTACAGAATATTTCCCAATAATTTACACTGCCTTATACACTGATTATTTACATCTTTCAAAGCCCTTTTTCTACAGGTAGCTCTTACTAAAATGTCACTACACTATCGCCATATATACATGGAAGATGTTCAAACGATATTCCACAGTCCAGACTAATATACCTACGAACCACCATGTCTCGTAGACTGACTAATCTCATCCTCATTCCCTTCATATTCCATTTGTAAGGAAGAAGTTCAACTCTAGCAGCTGTGTTTCTCCAGAACGTTTGCAATGTGGAATAGACTTATTAGAGGATGCTTCCCTGATCACTAGAATCTTAACCTCTTCAAGTTGAAAGTCAACTGATATCTATTCTCTATATACTCACAATATTCAAGCCTTGGTTCCACACTATACGCTGTGGTACCATTCCTGTTTAATAATACTCAGTGAAACTTACGTCTTGTATCGGTTGAGAAATAGTTAAAAAAAAAAAAAAATGAAAAAAATACAAAAAGCTGCTTGTCGAAGTAAGACTAAACAATAACCGGCAATAGATAACAGGCGCGTTTCAAAATGGCGAAGGAAGATTTTACAACGTCATAAACATAGAAAAACTCGAAATGTTGATAGAAAAATAACCGGAAAGTCAAAAACGCTAAATTTATGTACTGTATAATGTTTTAGATTTCATGATGTAATCATACACTTCACAAGTAAAAAAAAAAAAAAAAAAATTTCAAGTGAACACAACAATTTTTATATTATAAAATCAATAATCTGGTGATGACATTGTGCTAATGTCAAAGTACTCGGAATAAAATGAATATGCATCAATATAATATCTTTCTTTCTTCCTTTAATAAGGATAATAAGAAAGTTGTCAGTAAATATGAAAGGTTCATATTAAGAATAAGTAGACAAAACTATGTAAACTATTGAATGAGACATGTTTTAATACACATATGTACAAACACACAGACATATGTATACATATATATATATATATATATATATATATATATATATATATATATGTGTGTGTGTGCGCGTGTGTGTGTGTGATGTCAAGATGGCTAAAGGTGTTATCGGAAAATCTGGGAAAAGAAATTCAATTAGTTCATGGCTTTCAGATATTAAACATATTGTGAGATGGATTGTCATCCTATGCTGTTACACGATTTGAACAATTGTGCAGTTACACCCGGTACACACACAAACACGCGAGCGCGCACGCACACACACACACACACACATATATATATATATATATATGTATAAATTGAACATTGAAGTCAATACTCAGAGGCGACATACTGTTTCATACCGCCTGACGATTGCGTCCAGCATAAAACAGCCTGTCGCCTCATTGTGTTGACTTCAATATTCACTTTAATATTTATATTTACATACGCTCTATCTCTGATACTGAGCAATTTATCCCATAAATAAAGCAAACCTTAAAACTATATTTCTTCATATATATATATATATATATATATATATATATATATATAGAGAGAGAGAGAGAGAGAAGGAGAGAGGATAGATAGATAGATAGATAGATAGATAGATAGAGATAGATAGATAGATAGATAGATATGTGCATAAATCAAAATAAAATTCAATAAAGACTTCAAAAAAGAATAAAGCGATGAAGTGTGTACATTAATTAGCTAAAGCATTAATTGTTTAGTCAATTTTCCATGTGAGTGGAGATTATGAGACCAAGAATTGAGTTGTCTCTGCCTCGGTGGTTAGCATCAGCCGCGCTGATGGGAAGCAACGATGATCTTAAATATGGTTAAAAGAGACCAATTTCATTTTAGATGGGTTAGAATTAACAATATTGGATTTAATTCTTAGGGAAACGTTAAAACGGAAATTATTTGAAACGTAAATTAGAAATACTCATAGAACATTTATATTGCTATTCAAATAAAAAAAATATATATATATATTCTGCATCTGTTTATAAGCTACTCTACTACAATTCGGTTATCGAAATTGGTACCCTTTTCACATGGTTGTGTAATTGCAGAATTATCCTTCTCAGTGAAGGATGATTACTTGAAACTCCTGCAACAACAGCGCCATCTCTCTGTAAACGTTTGTCGAATACATATCGTTTGATTTGTCAAACAAATAATAATTCAGTATCTGTCTATATTTCTGAGATGAGGTATTATATACACTATTTACATTATTTGGACTATTGTCCTCATCTTTGTCGCTATATTTATTACAACGTTTCGGCCTTTCAGTATCTGTCTATATTTCTGAGATGAGGTATTATATACACTATTTACATTATTTGGACTATTGTCCTCATCTTTGTCGCTATATTTATTACAACGTTTCGGCCGTTGTACGCTTAGGCCTTCTTCAGGTGGTTGGAATGTCGTACTTAACTCTTTATTTTGCTCACTGGGGTAGACTGTTCTAGTTCCACGTGACATGTTTAATGGATGTCAGTTATCTCTTGTTAATTTCCTTCTGAAAGTTCCCCACTGCCTTGAACTCGTATTCTTTGGATCCTGGATCTAACCAACGCCTTTATCCACTGTACTATGTGTCCTTGAGGACATCTAGGTATGAATTTCTGGGTATTATAAACCTAATGTCTTCAACAACCATTTTTACCAGTGCTCATATTACAATTTTGTTTTGATGTCTCCATGTTTTTACCAGAGCTCATATTGCAAATAATAATTCGTATAAAATAAAAGACTTTAACTATAGAACACTACCTCTGGGTATATAGTACCCAGCACAAAATTTCCCATTTTCAATTACAATTTCAGTACCTGATTTTCTTACCTAAATAATGTTTTTCAGTTCCTATTAATGTTAACTCAAAGTACAAAGTTTGAAGTGCCTGCATGTAAAATATTTTAAATAAAGCTTTATATTTAATATTTTCCTTGAGATTTTCAAATTCGGGTATGATATACCCATAGTTAGTAGTGGTGTAGTTTTGATTGACGGTTAGTGTTCTAAGGTTAAGGTAGATGCTGTAAATGATACACACCATATCACAAGAGTCAGAGTTTCACCAGGTTGCCCGTGTGTCGAAATCGCCCTACTCTCGTTGGACGAACAGGTTCCTTCCTCCTGTCAAGGTATTTATGGTATGGGCGCTGTCTGATCACGTGGCAAGAAATCTACGAAAGGCACATCGTTTATAGCCCAGAATTCATTTAATTCGGCGAATGCAGAAATTTGATAATGGATCCTTTCAGAATATGAAATCAACACTAACTCCTTCAGATTATCATCGTCTGGGACCCGTCCAACGATATTTATTCTGCAAGTGGTTCCATACATATGACGCTATTGTAGAGTGAAACTGGTTATTTCTGTCTGTTAATGTTTCTTTGGGGAACAGAGTATACGTTCGTGTGACCGGTGGTAAAAGTACATCAGCCTTGCTGGCGGCGACATGGAAAAGTAGCATAAGCTATCAGGTCATATAAATGCAATGTTATGATTTTAAATTAATGAACTTGTTGCTTGTAGTGTGCATAGCGTAACGGTTAACGGAGTGAAAATCGACCAGAAGAGTGCACTATGTTCAATTTTGGAATTCTCCTCCTGCTTATGCGTTAAATAGCAAGTTAGACCATGGCTCTTTAGTCTTGGTAGGGCAAAAAGTGGAGAAGAACAATTCTGTATCTGTTTATATTTCTGAAATGAGGTAATATGTACACTATTTACATTATTCTGACTATTGTCGTCGTCTTCGTTGCCATATTTATCACAACGTTTCGGCCTTTCAGTATCTGTCTATATTTCTGAGATGGGGTATTATGTACACTATTTACATTATTCTGACTATTGTCCTCATCTTTGTCGCCAAATTTATTACAACGTTTCGGCCTTTCAGTATCTGTCTATATTTCTGAGATGAGGTATTATGTACACTATTTACATTATTCGGACTATTGTCCTCATCTTTGTCGACATATTTATTACAACGTTTCGGCCTTTCAGTATCTGTCTATATTTCTGAAATGAGGCATTATGTACATTATTTACGTTATTCTGACTATTGTCCTCATCTTTGTCGCTATATTTATTACAACGTTTCAGCCGTTGTACACTACAGACTTCTTCAGGTGGTTGGAATGTCGAACTGAACCCTTTATTTCGCTCACTGGGGTAGACTGTTCTAGTTCCACGTCTTTATCCACTGTGCCATGTTTCATCGAGGACACATGCCACAGTGGATAAAGGCGTTAGTTAGATCCAGTGACAGGACCCAAAGAGTGTGAGTTCAATACCCGGTTAAGGCAGCGGAGAACTTGGAGAGGGGAATTAACAGGAGATAATGGATAACTAACATCCATTAAACATGGCACGTGGAACTAGAACAGTCGACCCTAGTGAGCGAAATAAAGTGTTCAGTTCGACATTTCAACCACCTGAAGATGGCCGAAGCGTACAACGGCCGAAACGTTGTAATAAATATAGCGACAGAGATGAGGACAATAGTTCGAATAACTTAAATCAGACCAATTCTGGATTACTTTGTATTCAAAAATTGGCTGAAAGGCGTTTAGTATTGCCAGAATGTCTTAAACACACAGCTTCCATACATATGGTGCCAAGCTGACCCTAGCAGGATCACGGGGCTCATGATCATGATTGGAAATGTTAGATTAGTAAATGTATATATCAGACTTTACGGATGTTTTTCCTGAGGGTAATCTCAATTCTAGAGAAGGAATGGAATCGTCAACCAATCCGTATAATAACGGGATTATCCACAATGTGGCGCTATAAACAGATTGCAGTATTTGAATGCAATGCTATGAAGCGGAATTAACTGAAGAAAAACAGAATAAATGAATATCTGAAAAAGAAAGGACAAATATTTGAAACAAAACGTAAATGGGGAGAAATTGATAAAAGAGATGAAGATGCGGAGAGAATCAATAGTGTGACGCAGAGGACTTATCCTGAGTTTACAAAAGAGGAATTTAATATCGCAGGAGGAAATTAATGACTATTCCTAAGGCTCAGTAACTAAAGTTTTTTTTTTTTTAAAAAAGAAGGAAGAAGGTAGAGAATTCATCCTTGTCGTGCACTGTATTCAGCTAGCCAAAATGGCTGCTGAAGAATACTTGCAAATGATATACAATGAAAGTTCCAGGAGAAGAGGCTGAAAAGATAGGATTAAGAAATAGTAAAACAATTGTAAGACAGAGGTCATTTAAAAAGAGAAGCTCTGTAAATTATCATTGTGTATCCGAGTAGAAATGGAACTCGGCCATTTTGTTTTAAACGAAAAAAAAAAATCCGTGAAAATGTCACCGCTGCATAAAATAATATCAAACAGCAAAAAGACTTAACTGCTAACTATAGTAACGTATCATCAAAGCAAAATAACAAACAGGCATGATAGAGTAGGAACAATCATAAAACGGGAACAGTTCAAATAAATTTATAAATAATAAAAACATTGACAATCATTTTAATATAATTTCTGTTTATACGTTATTTTTATAGACACAAATATGTAAGTAAATGCTCTGTTTATAATAAACAGTATTAACAGCATTTACTGGCCTGGACGTCCGAAAAATCTCAATAAAATATGTCTTCCGACAGGAAACGAAACTATATCCTACAGGGATCCACCATATAGCCTGATGTGCAATACCATTTAGCTACAGAGGGAGCGTCTGATTTGTAAGATGAAATTACTGTTTTTGAACTAACCCATCTCTCGAACTCTCATATCTGCCCGAAGCGTATCTTAACGTAAATAAATGACATAACATAATATAAAATAGACTAAAAAACGGTAATTTAAACTTACTAACCAGGCGCTTCCTCTGAGTTGACAGATTAACAAAAAAAATGATTTAACGAAAAAAAAAAAAGAAAATTGTAATTTCTATTACTTTTTCTCGCATAGAGGAGGTCTGTCTGAAAACTAATAGGACTGGTTGTGCTGTGAGAGGTATGCGCATCATCCACAGTGAATTCATGCCTCATGGCCAGTCGATCAATGAGTAAATCTACAGAGATCCTGCGATGTTTGCTTCGTTCACTGTGAGAGAAGTAACGAGAGCTATGGCAGGAAAATCGCGGATTCTTTAACACAACAATGTATCTGATGACAACTCCTTGAGCATCCGGCAGTTCCTGGTCGAGAGAACGTCGCCGTACATCAAATACCTCCTTTATTCACCTGATCTTGCTCCGTGTGATACTTTTCTTTTCCTAAGTTCAAGGGGATCAACAAAGGGACCCGTTTTGAAGCCATTTTCGAAGACGTATCAAGAGAACGTTAACAACGGTGCTGAGAGGCATACAAGAAGAATCATTCCAGCCATGCATAGAAGCCTGGCAGAGAAGGATGGACAATTTCATTAGGCTCAAGGGGAGGTACTTTGAAGGGGGAAAACGTGTAGCTTGTTATTTGTAACTGGAATAAATTGTTTGTGACACCATTACCGTTACTTTTCAGGCAGATCTCGTATGTACCTGAATAAGTTTGTAGCTTAAGCCTGAAAAAAGAATTTTACACAGCAAATAATTTTTATATATATTATCTCTAGCCCTCTTGAAATTAACGGCGTAAAATGTGTACCTATAATT